ATAAAATTTCTAATTTTTTCTGAATCATACCTTAGCATCCTTTTGATTCCTGCCATAAGACAACAGGTTACTTGTAACTATTAGACACAAAAATTCTCCTTTGATTAATTGTAGTTGTCTCGTTTCTTTGCTTGCCACTCGAAATAGTTTTGTCGTTCTAGCTTGCTCGCTAGTTCTGGTACTCGCCTGATTCGCCTTCTATTCTCTTGCTAACATGCTGTTGCTCTTTAACATGGGTTCGTCTTCCCTTTTGTTCTTTTCTTGAATACTTGCCTGGCATGCTCCCCTTTCATTTTCTCTTATAAACACGGAACCAGTAGCATCATTTCAATACTTTCAATTGAATTAGCACTAGCTTGTTCCGATAAAAATTTAATTTGTGGGTCGTTACAAAATATAAATTGAATCTTATAATTTGTGGTTAAATTTTTATTCACACCTTGAGGATTGCACACACCTTCTACTCAGACCTTTAACTCAGCTTGTATATAATTAGTCATACCGTTAGTTTATGCCTTATATTTGTCCATTAAAGAACACAAATCTTGACATCTTGGCTAAATAGCTTTAATCCAAATGTATGCATATCTTCTTGCACATGCAGATTAAACTTCATATATTTTAATTTACCATTATAATAATATGCTTGTAAATAAATTTTATTAAAACTATTCAAGATTTAGATATCTCCATGTCTAGTATCAAATTGTATTATTCTTTGGATGTAACGTAATGCATAATCATATGGGTGCTGATTCGGGTTTAAGTTTTGCATTGATTTGACCAATCGGAGGAGTTATATGCAACCATAGACCCCTTTTGAATTAACAAGAAGTTCTTTAATTGTTTTCATGAATATCTTTTCTGTAGTTAAGGAGAAAGGCAAAAGTTTGGCTATTAATTTTTTACCTATTTGACCAAGTAAGAAGGTGAAAAAACTAAACAAGTCCTTTATCATAACTAAATTGCGTACCTTTGCCCCAATCACAACCTGATACTAGAGTTAACCCAAAATACAATCGAAACGAAAATATTATTGCTGAAATTTAAATAGGTTATAATGATAACTCAATAAAACAAGTAGCATATATACATAAAAAAGTCATTGTTGGGCGAGGATGAGAGTGGTGGATGGCGTTTGAACAACAGGTAGGGGTTGGATTTTAGGTGGTTGTAAGGGCAAGAGGGTTGGAAGTGAGTTCTGGCAGCTGGAAAGCCGATGAAAGGAGTTGTGGTGGATGTTCGATAGGTTAGAGGAATAGGCGACAATTCTATGAGAATGGGAGGTTATGGGAGAACCTGAAAAGTGGTTGTCCCAGAGAAGACAATAACTGGCGGAGGAGGGTTGAGGGTTGTAGCTGGGAAGAAGGGAGGGGGGAAGGTAACGAGAAAGTGGAAGGTTTGGAAGCTGCAGTTGACAACAAAACTGCTGCCTTTGGGGTGAACTACAACAAGTATGGTGACGATGACAGCCAGAGGGGGGTTGCGGGTGAGGGGCCGGTTCAACCATAACAGCTCCGTGTCAGTCTCACGGGGTTGGGGAGCTTCGACTTCATTCGTCGAAATTTCAAGTTTTTCATCTGCAATGCTAGTAGCACCTGAATCCCATTGACAATTATACTGTCTCATAAAGTAATCCAAGGTCGGCCTAACCTGATATGAAGTGGGGAAAAACCGAGCCTCCCTGAACGATGGTGGCCATGGTGGTAAGATATTGATTATGCTGTTCTACATGGCTCTCTGTTGTGACTGCCCGTATCTGGAATCAACGTCTCAATCCTACCATTCTTTAACGTCAGAAAAACTGTTCCTACTGATGCTTCTATGTTGGCGAAGGTATTTATGATCTCGTATTTTGTAGAAGGTAGAAGGACAATACGCTTATCCTCCTTGGTGGAGTAGGTATTCTTGAACCTATCGTGCTGAGCCCTTCGGTCGAATTGCCATGGTCTCCCCAACAACAGGTGGTAGGCATCCATAGGTACCACGTCGCACCACATCTGGTCCTGCAATTGACTTCCAATCGAAAATCCCATTAGGCACCTTCTGTAAATGCCGTTCTATTCTCCTTCAACCACATCAGAGAATACGATTAGGAGAGACTCGGAGTCACGTGGCCCAATTTCTTCAACATATGTGTAGATGTCACGCTATTGCTGCTCCCCCCCCATCAATTATGAGACTGCATACCTTTCTGTTCACAGTGCAATGGATGTAGAATATATTGTGGTGGAGCTATTGCGAATCCTTTGTACCCTCATTCTGTATGACCCATCGAACCACGAGCATCTGTCTCATTCGATGGAAATTGATACATCTTGCCACATTTTTCAGCTGCCTCCTCATCGCTATTCTCTTACGCTGCATCCTGCTCGGTAAAAACACCACTTGGCTTGTCGTGCAGCTTGAGGCGATGTGCCTAAATCCAAGGCATCCGAAGCATTTTCTGATTGGGATTGTGGTAGGCGTGTTACTCTTCTCAGACTTCTCACTCGGGATGGTTTTGTCATTATCCAAACAAGTTTTCTCAACACCCTGAGGCGAGCTCTTGTTGATGTCTCCAGCTATAGATGACTGATTGCTTGGAAGTTGTTGCTTGTTTTGTTTTTGCTATATCTCCATCTTTAGGGTTAATGTTTGGACATCTCCTAATGATCAATAGGGCTGTAGTTTCACCACATTGTTGATAGCTAGCTTCAGGTCTCTTAGATAACAGGCTATTGTGTGTTCTTCTTGCTTAGCCAACTCAAACTTCCTCTGCAACTTGTCAAACTGCACTGTGAACTCCTTGACTGATAGGCTTCTTTGCTGTAGGTGGTAGAGTTTCAAAAATATATCGTCCTCTCTGTATCGTTTTCCTCATCTTCTTCCACCTTGTAATTTAGTCACCGCCTTCTCTCTTCCTCCGCCTTTACAAGTTTTCCCACCACAAAGAGGCGCTCTTTCTCAATTTGATGGCTCCTAGATTGTCCCTTTTATCTTCTGACATATCTTTGCACTTGAAGATTCTCTCCACTGATTGCAGTCATTTGACGAAGTCGTCAGGATCCATATCTCCATCGAACTATGGTGGATCCATTTTCGATTTCGAAGTCTCCGTGTCCTCCATATGTGATCGTCTTTCTCGACCTTCTCTGATTTTGGATTCCAAAGCGTGGTGGCCTCTCTTGTTTCATCATTGGAACCCTCTTTGTGGAAGAGGTTAAAATTCTCTCCTCTTTCGCCCCTTCGACTTTTCCTATAATGATTGAGGGTAATTTTTTCCCTGGGTTTCATCCTGCACGTCCTTAAGTCTCGGTTGATGTCGACGTTTCTCTCGCTGTATCTCTTGTCGAGTAGGCTCGAACATGTATCTCTATGGTGACATGACTAGGATTTATGGATGGGAGGTGAAACTAATTGAAGTTGTAGGAAAATTAATTAGCGGTAGTTGATTTTGAAAATTAGCAAAGGGAAACTAGGGCTAGGTTAAAATCTGTCGATGTTTTTGGAATAAATGGAGTGGTAAGGCGTTGCTGAGAAACATTAGAATAAGAATAGGGTTAGACTAACTTTGATACCAAATGATACTGGAGTTAAATCACAATCGAAACAAAAATATTATTGCTGGAATTTAATTAGGTTACAATGATAACTTTCCAAAATTAGAAATAGATGACAACAAACATAAAAGGACATCATAGGGTGAGGACAAGGGTGGTGGATGGGGGTTGGATAGTAGGTCGTGGTCAGATTGGAGGTGGTTTGAAGGGCAAGAGTGTTGGAAGTGGATTATGGCAGCAACTGGAAACCCGGTGAAAAGAGTTGCAGTGGCTCTTCGGTATGTTAGAGGAGTAGTCATTAGTTCTAGGAAGATGGGAGGTTGCGGGAGAACCTGGAAAGTGGTTGCCGCAGGGAAGACATTAGCTGACAGTAGAAGGGTTTGAGGGCTGTGGCTGGGAAGAAGGGAGGGAGGAAGGTAACGAGATGGTTGAAGGTTTAGGAATTGCGGTAGACAACGGGACTGCTGTCTTTGGGGTGACCTGTAGCAAATATGGTGACAACAATAACTAAAGGGAGGTTGCCGGTGAGGGGGAGGTCAAGGATAATCACCGCCTCAGAGTGTGATATAACCGGAGTACCACTCTTCCTCGGATACGATCCTAGAAGGGATCTATGGATGCCGACGGCTGTCCAAACAAAAATTTCAGCAAAAATTTTATCCTAACACAACAAATAATCTATTTATAAGTAAAAGGTAACTGTAGTGGTCCCCCTTAGGTGTTAGCAACTCTCAGCTTTAATTAGGGTCGGCCGGCTCAGCCCCCCTACTGGACCGACACTCCCTTGTTAAATCATGGGCCGTTTTAGTCCTAGCAGCCCCAAGTCACAAGACTCACAACACCTCTCCATTCTCTCATATGCCCTTTCTCTCCTAAGGTTGAACTTGCAGGTAGTTGTTGGCCATTCCATCTTTTTTTTCCTTGTTCTCCCTTTCTCTTTTTTCATTTTTCACTTCATTTATTTCAGAAATTCTTTGGTTTATAACATGCCTCTGATTAGCATTCTATGAAGCAATAATGCAGTTTTTATTAAATAACGTCGTAATTTAGTACATACAAAGAAATAATTACTTACTCGAAGCCTTAAATGACGTCTTTAATTGTTATCCCTTCACCACACCATATCGTCAATCTTTTACCAATCTCAATTCTGGTTAGTTGTCTTCTAGACTTCCTAATTCAACTTGCTCTTAAAATTTCTTTACTTAAATAATAGTTGTTTCTTATTTTTTTTTGAAGTACTTCTCATTTACATGAACTTTACTGATTTGTTATCCTCATTTAACGGCTAAAGTTAAATTTTCTAAATGATTTTGGGTCATTACATTCTTTCTTTATCAGTCTCTCATATATTGGTCTATATCTTCAGAAAATGTGTATCTGTTAGTTTTATTGCTCTTCTGTCTATGTTGAAATCCGTTCTGCACTTTGCTAATCAATTTATTTTATATTTTGCAGGTTCCAAACTGTATCCTTGTGACTTGATTCCGTTTACGAGGAAGCCACTTTTTCTCATTATAGACAGTAATAGCAGCCATGCATTCAAGGCAGGTTTACACCCCTTTTTTTGCAAGCCATCACCTAGACATGAAAACAAGCAATTTTCTGAAGTTCTTACTTAATTTGTTTCTCCCAAAAGATCTGTAATTACAAATTGACATGTGATTTTAAAAAGTGCTAGCCAGACTTGCTATCATAATTCTACATAGAGGTGTCAGTCTCGTAGGCTAATTTAAGGGAAGTACTATCCAGGCTTACTATTATGGTTCTACATAGAAGTGTTTAGTCTCGTAGGCTAATATTAGGGAACATTAAAATAGGATAGTGCTCCAGATTTGGGGAGTGATTTATTTTATTGGAGTATTTCTTAGAGCATTATAGTTGTTCAGCAATTATAAATAAGGGATATTTCTAATTAATTAGACACAAAAATCTTTTTCCTGAATGTGATATTGGAGCTAAGAAAACCACACCATAGCTAGCCCATCTTTTATCCTTTGCTAAACCCTAAACTTTATTTATATTTATTCGGCACATGAATACATTTTAAATTATACTAATTAAGATAGATGAATATCAATATTCCTTTTCAATTTATGGACGCAGACATTTTCTCAGTTTGTTCTATAAATGACTGAGCATCATCAGTCAATCATGCTCATGCAAATATGCCATATAATTCTTGTCATTCATATTTTCATATCATTTACTATTTTCTATAACATTTCAATCTGACCAACACATCAAACAATACAATTAAATTATGATTAAATTTATCTAAATAGTTATCTAATCCATTAGGTTTAGAAGAAATCAATAATGCCACTAAAATTCAAAAATACATTAAAAAGATGCGACAATGTTATTTCTTAGCGATGTTATTTCTTAGCTCACAAGCGTTTATTCCTACGAATAAAATCTAAACTAAGCATACATGAAATATAATTAATTTTTATTTATCTGATTTTATTATAGCCATTCTTTAAAACATATAACTCCATTTTAATTTTTCCATTTTACTGCACTCTGCTCGGTAAAGAATACAACTTGGCTCATCTGGCAACTGGAGGCGATGCACCCAAATCCATGACATCTGAAGTATTTTTTTCTGAGACTGTAGCGGGCATTCTCTATTTTCAAGCTTCACACTTTGAGTGATTGTCCTCCTGATTAGTCTTCTCAACTCCTTAAGGCATGCTCCTATTGATATCTCCAACCGAGAGTGGTTGTTTGAATGGTGGTTTGTGTCTGCTCTGCTTCTGCTGTCTCTCTACTTTCGTATAAACATAATTCAAAGACAGGTAAGACTGTAATTGGACCACATCATTGATGGCGGGCTTCAAGCCTTACAAATATCTGACTATCGTGTTATGTTCTGATTTCATTAGATCACATTTAAGCTTATATTGCATAAACTCTACCGTGTATTTCTCCACTGATAGCTTTGTCTGCTGTAAGTAGTGGAACCTCAAGAAAAGACATGATAGTATTGTGGGGGTAGGTCTTGTTGTTTCCGTTATGTTTTTTTCTCTTTTATTTTTGATGGAGTCGTCAGCCTATCGATCGGCATATACTTCCCTTCTTCGAATTAATCTCTCTTTCGAGTTGTATGAATGACCCGGAGAAGAGAGGAATCACAAAAGACAAATATACAATAATTATGACAGACAAGAGAAAAAAACAAAAACGTTGAAAGTCTACGTACGATAAACCTCAGAGGGTTAGGGCAAGTATGTTCGCTCAAACAAGGTTGGGTGGAGGCATCTTGGACTAATATCCGCAAAAGAATACCTACGTAGGCTACCCATAACCAAAGATTCAGGTAGATGACCTTTCTGGCATCAAGAGCGCTCCCAAGGGGGCGTTTCTCACCTGGTTACTTATATTTTGGGGATACCCAAGAATATTTTCGATAAAAGGTATTTCACTTGTATTATCGTAGGCCTGAGAAAATAGCTTATTAAAGGGAGGTTATTCCATGTGGGAACACTCATATGCTTCAAAGCTCTAGCTAAGCCATTGGACAGAGAGTGAGTCTCTCATATCCTAAGTAGGTAACAACTTATTGACATATGATACCCCACATAATAACCAATAATCATCTCGACGGGGGTACGTCAATACGTCAAAGCATGTTCGGGTCGTAAGGGAAGAGGATAAACCGTCTTAGCCAAAATGAGTGACAGCTCATCGATATCGGGCCGTTAAGATGATACCAACGAAGTCAACAGGAGTGAAAGGGCAGGGGTAATCAAAGGAAAGGGAGAGTAATCCCTAAAAGGTAGACGTAGTTGAGTCGGGGTACCATAAACCCGTCATCCCAAACTACTAAGACCCTTAGCCTACCTAATCATGAAGGTCAACCCAACACGTCCTGAGATCTCTGGTCAGCAATCCGTGAATTGCATCGTCCGCGGGAGACCTCTGTAGCCCTAAGTTTGGAGGAACGAAACTCCATCCTATGACTATAAGTTGGAGCTCCAAGAGGTGAGACTTACACCTTTCGAAGTGAAAAAGATGCCTCAGGAAAGAAAGAGAGGTGGAGGTTCGGCTGCCAAACTGGAAACGCTCCGAACAAGAGAACTTATAGGTTTAGGGAGCCTCTTAACGACCTAGGTGCACTAGACAACCTTATGTGTAGAAAAAAGTATGCTGGGTCAGTCAGATTGAAGAAGCACGACTCCTTCTGGGGACATGCCAATATGAATGTAATTATCTAGAGCGGTTTTTAATTATTGTGAAGACTTTATTAATATGAATTGGGTTATGACCATGCTATGTAACCGTTTTAAAACCAGCTCAAAGACCATGCAAGAAAGTAAAAACAAGTTTTGAAAATCCTTAATATTTTAATCTGTTTTGAATCTTTTATTATGTTCTTTTTCAGTAGAAAATTTATAATTTTAGGGTCCTTATTGAGCCTAAATCATATTTTTCATGGAATCCCAAATGCACATAAATAAAAATGAAATACAATTCAAGCATGCAAACATGCAAATGCAAATGTAGAAAGTAAAACAAGCCAAATAAAATAATAAACAACCCGGTGACACTGAGTCGACAACATATCCCAGAAAGAAAAAGAGTGGCCGGAGTCGCATATACATATTCGGTCCTAATTTTGTATATCAATAACAAATGCAGAATTAAGATACAGTGCACAACGTCATCTTTTGGTCCCCTCCACATGGTTCCTGCTCCAAACGCTTCAGAACCCGTGCCCATATTTTATTTTTGATATAGATCTCTCTTAGGACTTTAAAAAATACATAGGAAACGTAAAAAAAAAAAAGACTCGACCTGCATGGAAACAAGTGTTAGTGGGAAAAACTATGCTACACATATAATTAACCGTGCCTTATAAGTGGGGGAGCTAAATAACACCAACAAGCAAAAGGGTCAGAAATCATTACGCGTTTTTCCATAGTGGTACTTGTGTGTGTGCATATAAGTAGGCATGACTCATTGCAGAAAAAAACCCTAACACACTACTATGCATATGCAATATGCAGAAAAAAAACCCGCAAAAAAGGTGACGCGTGGCTAGAGCAAGAACAAAAACACAGAATAATATAGGAGGCGTCAAAAAAGGGCTACCTAACATCCTACATCCTAGCCTATCATACAATCTAACTAAAAGTGTCCTAACCAACATTTAAGTGCACAGGGTCGCCTCCGGGTAAAGTATGAATTTTGCGGGTTGCCTTACTGGCTCCGCCCTAAAGATCTAGGGGGTTTAAAGGGTGCCACTCAAGGTGGATTTTGAAAGAGGAGTTGGCCTTACCTATGACCTAGTTTGTTATATGCATAATTTTTTAAATATAATGGATATAATATATAAAAAATATATTTTTCTTTTAAATTTAAAAAAGAGCCATTAAATGCTGCCTGTAACATGCCAGGTGACACATGTTATATCTCTTGGATCCTTAACACAGTCATTCTTATGTTAATCCTGATTACTTGACTCAAATTGCTCACCGAGATCGACCCGACAAACAATGCTCGTTAAGACATAGCGGCCTACACTGGAGTCACTCTTCTATCATGCCTAGATCGCTATCAATGCAAGTATGCAAATGCAAATGCATAAAATCATGTGACAGAAGTGGTGAGTATGTCGTGGAGGTGAGGACCCGACAGATGGGTCTGCCGTGGAGGCAGGGATCCGAAAAGATGAGCGAGCCAAGGAGACAATGACCAGAAGGACCGGCGTGCCGAGAAGGCAGGGGCCCGACGAGTGGGCGTGTCATGGAAGCAATAACTCGAAGAGACGCAGGACAAACAAATGATAATGATCATGCAAACAAACACATACAAGATGCAATGCATTATGCAAGCAGACAAACAAATAAATGAAAACAAACATGCAAAATGATGCAAAAAACATACAAGCATGCAAGTGATCGGTTGGTCGGGCCTTAGTGGTCGGTCCACCGGACCTGGGTGGCCGGTCAAACCAAAGTGCACGGTTGACCAGACTTGGGCGACCTGTTGAACTAAAGTGGTCGGTCGACAGGGCCGGGGCGACCGGTCAAACCAAAGCGCTATGCCGATCGGGTCGGAGCGGCCGGTCAAATCATAGTGCTCAGTTGACCGGCATGGGCGACTGATAGAATCAAAGTGAAATGCCGACTGGGCTGGGGTTGCTGGTCGAGGTAAAGTGAAATGCCAATTGGGCAGGGGCAACCGATCGAGGTGTAGTGAAGTGGTACAGAGCCGGTGCAGGTGGTCGAGGCAAAGTGAGATGCTGACTGGGCCTTGGCGACTGGTCGAGACAAAGTGAGATGCCGACCAGGCTGGGGCGACCAGTCAAGGCAAAGTGAAAAATGCGAACACACTCCAAGCAAATTGCACTGCAATTCAAGACAAACCAACATGCTTGATAGCGAACCATGCTTGTGCTAACACCCTCACTTAGGAACCTAGGATTTGACGCTTGGATGTGCGACATCGCCGTCTCCTGCTTTGTCGAGGTATTTGGGGAGTTTCTCCCTGGGATTTCCGAGGGGAAAACTCTCCACGACATTGTTAAATGGCCATCTAC